GGCAACGATTAGATAATTCTTTAAATGATATAAATTTTGTGCATTCTGAGTTATAATATGAACGAAATATAATACTGTTAAGTAAGCCTAGCTCCCGAGTGTCGCTGTGGTAAACAAAAGTGAATTTCAAAGAATGCATTTATTCTATTGTGGTTTATGCGCTGTCGGCTAAGTAGGTTTAATTCAATCTAATAAGTTTAAATGAAATGTAAGAAAAAATGCGTATAATTTAATATTCCATACAAGGAAGTCATGTGGTGTACACATCAGATATTTTGTTTTGCAAAAAAAAATCCTAGATGACATCTTAGAAATCTACTTGATTGCCCCATTCTCTGTAATATAGTGTAGACGCACTTCATAAATGTAAAATAAATTAAACTTTTTATAGTTCTTCCGTCTAGCTAATCTACTGTGAACATTCAAAGCAATTTCTTTAGTCTTTAAATGACATTCTGGTATGTTTTTATTTCAAAATTTTCTATTAATTTATTGCTTGTGCTTTAATAATGACTAAAAATTTTATCGTTAAATGTATATGGAATCATCTGAAAGTAAAAGCATTTATTTACATACCCATGCTCTCAATAAATACTTTTTGCAAACATTTCTTCTTTTCCCATACCTTCAAACTAAACCAAAAGCTGGTCAATTTAATGACGAAAAGAAGCGAAGGTAAATTAAAATCAAAACTGCTTTTTACTTAATTACCAGTGGTTTGAGTGGGTTTATATAATTACGGAAAGCCCTCCTGAGTTAAATGCCTAAGAGGAGGGATGCCTTTGTGGAGGGCTTGCTAAGGAAAACTGGCTCGTATACACGTTACACATGGGGAAAACGCCCATGCAGCCAGACCATTCACGGGATTCAAACCTCGGACCGAACTACAAGTGTTCAGTGACTTTATCAATCTGCCGCTGCTGAGCCTCTTAAATACCAGCGCCCATTTATGCATTATGCTGATTTTTTTAGACACTGTAATAGCTTGTAGCATAATAAAATGTTAAAATCAGAGCAAAATTAAGGTCTCTTAAATTATTCAGTTACCTATTTTATATTTAAAATTATACGAAATTTATATAATTATACAAAATTTGGCTTTTATAACTGCAGTGAGCATTGTTGCATTAACATAATTTTGTATTAATATTTTCATAATAAAGTGAAACTTATTTAATACGAAAATTATACCATGGCTTGTGGGTCTCCAAGAACACAGTAATGGGAAATAAAACAACCATTCAGTGTTCTTTATTATCCACAGGGGGGGGGGTTCACCTCTGCCGAAGGCTCATTGTTGCCCACTTTTGGTAATCTTTCATTTACATAGTGGCAAAGAAAATACTGAACCTAGAAATATCCTCACAACTTGACAGAGCTATCAGATGAAGAAGAAGGATGCCTTTGTGGAGGACTTTTATAGAGGTATAACATCTGAAAAGTCATCTGAATCACTCTCGCAAGATTCCGTTTCTTCTGAATCAGAATCAGAATCGCTGCTGCCAATTTGAATTATTAATTCATCCACTATCTCTTCTAGAAGTTCGTCCTTGTCCCAATAAGAATTTTTCAAGTTTTTCTACGTGGTTGCAGTGCGTCTGCCATTCTTGAGAAGTGACTTCATCCAAAGCTTTTTGTGTTAAATTTTTCAAATTTTCCAAGCTTAAGTCCCCAGTCACATTCCTTTCCCTGGTCAGTCTTTTATTTGATGACCAAACATATTCAGTTGCGTTTAGATCACAGTGGTAAGGAGGGAGACGCACAACATGATGCCCATTTTCATTTATGATGTTGTCAATTTTATAGATTACTTTTTAGGACGATTTCATTCTGTTAAGTTAAACAGTTCCGCTTTTCGCATTTTGGGATCGCTGCATATCGTCTTCTTCATCAGCCAATTAACCATTGTTTGCTTTGTAGCATATTTCGTGGGTGTGGGATCTTCAATTTTTGTGTGATACTGGGCATTATCCATGCATACCACACTTTGGGGTCGTAAATTTGGAAGAAGCTGTTCCGACATCCATTTTTCAAAATTTCCATAGTTCATTTGCCCATGTTAATCCCCGCTTTGAGCTGATGCTTTATATACAAGTTGGGCACCTGGAATAAATCCTGCGGAAGAGCCAGCATGGACAACAATCAGTCTATTTTTTGAACTGACATTTATCTGTGCGCCCAAAACCGTATCATGCTGCCAACATTTCTTAAAAATTAAATTGCTGTAAATCCATGTTTCATCGATGTAAATGATGTGGCGTCCACTTGCTCTGAGTTTCCTCATTTTGCGTAAATAATTGTTCCTCCAAAATACAATGTGAGGTCTTTCAATAAGAATTTTTCTTTTGTTAACGCATTTCTTCCAGCGAAAATTAATTGAACGCAAAACTTTGCACAAAGAGTCTTTCTGCCACGGGAAGTCTATTTTTGCCTCAAGACAGGCAGTAATTTCCGCACAGATAGCACTTTCTTTTCTTTGATGTAAAAGTCTTGTATTGTCTGCCATATAATGCATTTGTCAAAGTCGTCAATTTCGCACTTATGATTAACAGGGCTTTTACTTTTCTTTCCAGGCGTATTTAGAAGTTGATCTTCACCCATTGTTGATACTTCATGCTTAATTTTTTTAATTGTATACTCTGATACTCCAATAGCTTGCGATGTTCTCTTCAAAACTTGAGGAAGAGGAACTACTAAAGAGTTCGCCGAAGCTTCAGAGGCTCAAAATTCTGTGACATCGTACACGATTTGACGTGCCTGAGACTTTAAAGGTTGACCTTTCTCAAACTGGAAGGGCATTTTAAAAAATTGGCGATTAACAAAGCAGTACGAAAATCAAGCTAAATGGAAGCAAATTTGAACAAATACCAAAAGATATAACAACGAGAATAAAAATAGCTAATAGTAATAATATAAGGCTTAAGAAAAGATGCGTGCAGCTGGAATGAAACCGAGAAGACAAATGATAAACTCTTTTCCCTTCAGCCAACAGTCGCCAAAAACAAAATAACAATAAAGCAACCTTTGGTTTGTCCCTATTTGAAATAAACTAGCCCTGTTGCTATAGAGACCGCCACCCACCAGGCACCGTGGCGGGAGGTGTTCTTACCGTAGACAGACAGTACTAGAAATATCTTGGCAGCTGCTTGAAAACTATAAAAGGCTGGGGAGAGAGTATCTGCTCTCAGTTGCTTAGTTATTGTTGTGAGTTGTTAGTTCCTCATGAATTGAGATATTTCTGAGCCAGTTTTCTCTTTACATGTGTTTTGAATTGCATTGTATTTTGCATTGCATTGTATTTAATTTTATTAGTAGTTTGAATCGGAATTACTGATTGTACTCTCTGATGCTGTGAATACTTGTTCGAGAATTTCTGTGAAAAATTAGAGAACTTTGAAGTATTTCTTTTGATAAAAATAAATTTTATTAACTTATCATCAGAGCTGCATGCATTTGATCTATTATGAATCGGTATGTACGTACACAGCAATATGTATGTATACATATATATATAATTAAAGACATAAAGTAAGAAATTTAGAACTAATATTTCACGAAGACCAATAATTATTTACTATTCTAAATTAAAACAAAACTGACAAAGTATGATAAAACGTGAAAAAATTCAAATTATGAGTTAGTGGAAACTATTACATTAGCTTGGGCTGAGTTGGGAATGTAATTTATATACATTATAGATACATATACATACGTTTTTTTTTGGGGGGGAAAGAAATGGAAGCACTTAGAGTACTAGCTCCGGCCAAAGGACTCGGTAAAGACAAAAATTTGCTGTGCATATTTATTTCACCCAAAGTGCAAATGGTTGAAGACAGTTGGTCAGCCAGTATGAATAAAGGTACTGTATGCAATGAACTTGGCATTGTATATCGTGGCAGGATTTGAGCATTCTGGTTCTATTGCTTTAAAATTGAACTGCATTTCAGATTAGTAAAACTGTTGCAAAGTACGTGAATTATGCTCACATTTGTAACTGTTTAAGAGAGCCCACATCACTTTAATACGTGAGGCAGAATTTTTATCCTAATAAGTTACCTTCCATTGGGGCCATATAAATACAGACATCAGAATCATGCTGTTAATAATGTTTCTAATTATATAGAAGAAGCTTCTTTTATTCAGTTATATGCTTGATTGTATATCCAATATATTTTGTAGTGTACGTGTGCTTATATTAAGTGAGATCTTACAGAGCTTTTTAAGTGCTCAAAATGTATTTTTTCTCAAAGGATTTTTACTTAATTGCTCAGTCATAAAGTATGGTCATTCCACTTTATAGTACCAAAATTATCTTTAAAAAGATGTCATAAAGTATGGTCATTGCACTTTATAGTACCAAAATTATCTTTAAAAACATGTACTGAATGTAAGTTATGTAAAGTTATCAAAATTTGATGAAGAGTTGTTAAAATCTGCTAAAACTGTAGAGCAATGAAACTCTGTATGGCTTAAGTCTGTATGACATGCTTGGTCAGGCAGTCATTCAGTTTTTAACTGTAAATAAGTCATGATCTGTGCTGGATTTGGGGCCACCTCCAAAAATTTTATCATATCCCATATCAAAAGAATTGACTCATAACCCTCATAAATCATATCTCAAATAGCTTAGGATCTCATCAAATATAAATCCTGGTCTTGGTCATGATATTTATTTGCATTAAACATCTGAAGAAATTAGTTTAAGAAATCAACTAGTTTAAGAAATCAACTTTATTAAATAATTGATATAAATTAAATTTTAAAATGTATTAAAATTTTTTTTCTGGCATTTTATAAGATTTTTTGCTGTATGTTCTGTTTTTTCATTTAATTAGTGTTATTAATTTCTAACTTTGATTTGTTTCAGCTCATGCCATTATTTTTTTTATGTCATACATATATAATAGTATTTTAAAATTTGATTTAAATTTTGAGTATTTTTATTTCTTTGTCACTTTATCCAAAAGCTTATGTCTTTTTTATGACATATTTTTATTTAGGGAATGGATTCAGTGAATGAAAGAAAAGTATTTAACTTAATTTCCAACAGCACCAAAGAGAGAGGCTGCTCCCAGTATTTTCTTTTAACACCTAAAGTAATTATAACTTCTGTGATAAAATTGCAGTGCATTTTTAATTTAATCCTTTTATTGCATTATTGGGTAGAATAAGTAAGTATTATTTATAATGTTAATAAAGCCAAAATCCAGGCAAACTAAGTTCAGCAGTATTTGCTGTTTTAAATGTTAAAGGAAAAAGACAGTTTTTTTTTTTTTTTTTTAAATGAGAATATAACTGAATTTCAGAGAAGATGTTGAACAAAAATATACTTTTTATAAAAGATCTATAATTTATTGTGTTAATTTTCATTAAAACATAACTATTCATATATTGCATGCAAAAGTTTTAGTACCAGAAATGTCTATTTATCCTTGACCTTAGAAGAATTTAATATTATAGCATACCTGATAATTTCATGAAAATAAAAATCAGATGTATTTGGAAGGGATTAAAATACAGGAGAAAGCATAAAATGAATAAATCTGAATATTAGACACAATTATGCAGGGGAAAATACTTTTTATAAAGAGAAATAAGAGGAATTAAATTAATTAAAACATATTTACATTTAGATGCTTTGTTTTTGTTAAAATTCAATTTGGGAATAGTGTTTTATAATAGTTATTTTATTCAAACTTTAAATTTGATATTTTCAAAAGTCGCCAAAGTGTGGGGTAGACACCTTTTTTAAAACATGCCAGAGAGAAGCAAAAATGTTTCATTTTAAGTTTTTTCTGAAAACATTATTTTAAAATATTTTTGTTATTTAAATGATATTGTATTGAGGTTTTTATATTTGTTAAAATTTTTTTGTAAGATGTGTAAATGACTGAATCAAAATTTTTATAAAAATATTTTTTCTTGAAATTGCCAATAAATCGCCAAATTTAATAATGTACAGTAAAAGAATTCACATCACCTAACGAAAAAATTTGTTTTTCATGTAATAAAAAAGAGAAATTCAAGTGGTAACCCCAACCTAATAGGTACAAATAATACACCCTTAAAAATATTTAGTAACAAGTTGCCAAATGGATGCAGTTTCATACACACTAAAAGCAGCATTTGTAAAAAAGATTTGGTGCATAAGTTCATAAATCTAGAACAGTTTTAATTAAAACTATGGAAAATCATCAAAATCTGCAAATACATATAATGTTTAAATATAATTTCTCCTGGATAAAGGAATGGAAGAGATTAAACCTCATTATAAATTATGTTCATTTTTGTGTAATCATATTTGTAAATACAGTACAAAGTCCGTAATCCGGACGTCCATTATCCGGACCTCAAAGCCACAAACTTCGTGCATGCACGTATGCTTTACTCATTTACTCATGTGTACATTGAGAGAAATGTTTAATGAAGTAAACAAATAAATATTAAACTTTTTTTTTGTAAAATTTGACACTCTTTAGATCATAATTGCTTTTTATTTCATAAATTACAATTTCATATTTTTAATAGTGTAATTTCTGCATGCCATCTTACCAGATTTAAATTGATGATCTATAATCTGGAGAAACCTATGTCAAAAAGTCTTGACGAGTCCGGATTACGGACTTTGTACTGTATATGTTATTAACATGACCAGAATTTAGTGGCAGGTATTAAGAAAGATATGGATAAGATATTGTTGCGTTTTTTTTCTGACACCAGTTGTTACGTTTTTTTTCCTTCACGTTCATACAGGGTTCGTGTGGATTTGGAGTGAATAACGACAACAGCACTTGATGGAATATCGAAACACACTTTATTTACCAATATTAATCAGGACAACTCCAAAACACTTTTACAGTCCTCAAAGATTTACTATAAACACGCTGGAACAATCAATGACACAGCCTTCACACTGTCAAGCAATAACGATGGAGACAGCTTCACTGCAAAGCACCAGAGTACAGCACCCGACTCTGCTCGGTAGTTCTCGCAACTTCACGTACTCTCGAGACTCTGCACGCTACAACTCGCGATGCATTCGACGACACACAGAGCACAGCTCCCGACTCTTCAGTTCAGTCGTTCCCGGAGCTTAACACACTCTCTTGATGATGCACTAACCGCGATACACTAAGAGACTCTTCGATGCACTCAACGACCCATTCAGCACTCGCTGGCTGGCTGTCAACTCAATCGTCTAGATGAGATACACTCACACTGCAGACCAGCAGGGTTTATATAGCTTTCAGCTTGTGTTCGAGAACATTCTGGGCTAAACCAGTAAGAATTCATTCCAGAAGGTTCTCCATCGTTCACGGCATTTCACCAATTTTGTCACCAAATGGGTGATTTCTCGCCAAATGTGGAACCCTTCCTTCCTTGCTATGCTATGGCAACCCTAAAACTGCTTTGTGGGGAAGCCATCTTATTGCGCCTGTACCTTTCGTAACAATATTTATTCAGACACGTATGGGTTTGGTCTCAGAAAGCTAAGTTTGCTTGGTGGGCAACTTGGAATATGGTGTGATGTAATGTATTATATAGAAGATTTAGTAAATGACGTTTGAAAAATGGATTTTTTAAGGCTGCCAGAATTTTTTTTTAAGGGATAGTTTTTTCTTTCCTGCTGAATTGCTTTTTTGTGTAAAATTGTTTGTTAAGTGAATGACATAAATCACCTAATAAAAAAGGTTTCCATATAATTGGTATGCTATTTGAACATAAGTATTCTTCACTATGAGATTGGTAAAAGTATGCATAATGACTGTGATATTCGGTATACCATTCTAGTTAACTCTTAGTGGTCTAGTATTCTTGTGTCATAACACTAGAGTACTAGTACACAGGCTAAATATTAAAGGCTGGCTTCAAACAGTCAATTCCAATAATGGATTCTTTTCCATTTATCAGAATAGTGTTTACCAATCCATTTGATACTGTGATAGAGACTATGCTCATTATACTGGAAGAGAAATTAATCAGTTGTATATTTAGTAAATTAATCAGTGTCACTTTCATAACAACTTATATGTTTAACAAGAACAACTTAAAAGAATGCATGCATTTGCAGGCAAACTCGAGTGAAAATACACAATAATCTTACCTGGTATACAGATATGGTTACAGTTGCATATATATTCTTTACAGTTTTAAGTATGTAAAATAGTGTAATTAAATAAACAGAAAGTAAATAAGTATTCCAAAGTCCAGTTAGAGTAAAACCACCACAGTAGTCTCTTTCAAGTACTGTAGGTACTTGCACATCATATGTAGTGAGGATTAAATCTCACTTCTTTACCAGAACGAGTTGTTTTCTTTGGAGGTAAATTTTGTAGTTTGTCTGATGATTCTGTTGAGTTAATGGGCAGAGTTGCTGCTGCTAGCAGTAACTGATGCTGTTAATGAACTGTCACTAGGAGTAACTGGAGTTGTTGGTGAACTGTCACTAGAAATAACTGGAGTCGTTGGTGATATGTTGTAGTAAAGGCTGGCTTCAAACAATCAATTCCAATAATGGATTTTTTTTCCCATTTGTGAGAATAGTAAGTGTTTACAAGTCTATTTGACAATGTCGGTAATGCTTTTACAGTGTCATTGTGCACTAAAATATGAGAGCAAGTTTCTGTGTAAGAATGTACAACACAGAAAGGTTTATTATGTGCAGAAGTAGTAACTGGAGGTAATTCTCACACAGTGTTCCATAGATGATGGAGGAAAGCTGCAAAATCTATATATAACAGGTGGTTAGATGACTGTTAGAATTCTCCCGGTAAGGATATAGTTGCTCTGCAGAGCATCTAAGTCTAAGAACCATTGAGGTCTTTTCATGAGCAGAGGTTAAGAAGGGCAGTTGGTAAAGTTTTTGTCTGGCTTGTGTTATGATGACCCATTAAGACTTGCTTAATGGTCTGTTAAAGCAGTCCATTTCTTGATGGGTGATATGGAGAACTTCAAGTGCAGCAAATTCATAAAATCTCGTTGAATGAAGAAATTAAATGAGACTCGAATTGTCACCCTGGTCTGTAGTTATAATTTTTAAGACTCCGAATCTTGTGATCCAGTGTGTAACGAATGCATGAGCACCAGTTTCAGCAGTAATATTCTGCACATATATTGCTCCAGGACAATGAGATAAACAATCTATAAAGGTGGCAGGTAATGTATATCTCTTAGATGGAGGCAAGGGTCCCACGAGCTCGAGATGAAGATGCTTGAATCTTTGAGAAACAATAGGAAACGATTGTAAAGAGCAATAAATTTTCAATGACCGTATCCAATTTGATATGTCTTTTAACATACCAAAAGATTGCAGAATTTATCCTCTTCTTTCTTCATTTGGTTTGGTCTCCTTTGCAAAATCCGTTTATGTACCTTTCTTTATTAGTTCGTAAAAGATACTTTGCAGTTTGTGTGATTTCTTTGGCTTCAGTTTCAATTGATGGAAATCCTTTATAATAATTAATAACTGATGGCAGTAAACATTCAATGTTGATGAATGAATGCTGAACTGTGTGTGAATGAAATTCCACTGTAGGATAAATCAAATGGAAGAAATTAAGATACTGAATGTAAGGAAAATCACATGTCACTAATCTGTTTTCAGCAAAGGTTTACTATATCATATGTTTTAACTCACAGCCACACTGTAAAATACTACATTTCATTGGAACTAATATTTTTTTTTTTTTTTTTACTGTAACTTCCTTTCATTTGTTTGACATTTATTTTCTGACCCTTGATATTTTATTAAAATTTATTATTTAGTAATATTTTTCATCCTGCGAGTTTTAGATATTTTGTGTGTTCCAATATCCTTGAGTAAGGTGTCATAGTATCCAAAACTCTTTGTTTTGTCTACTAAATTAAAAGAAAAAAAATAAATAAAGTGCAGAGGTATTCTATGATCTCGTAAAACTAATAAATTTTAATGAGGTTGGTTTTGTTTTGAATAGTGGGAAATGACTCTCTTATCAAAAAAGCTTTCAGTTAAAAAATATGACAGTTCCTTTCTAAAAGTAATGCATCTGTTATTCTAGCAGCCCAAGTATGAATGAATGCAAATATGTTAACATATGAGTTTAAAATTCAAATATCTATTTCTAATTTTTGAGTCCTTAATATTTTTTGTGCATTGGGATGTGCTGCCCATTGTGCAAAAAATTTAGTTATAAATATTTGGGCTTCCCTCCCCCCTTTTTTTTTTGAAAAAATATACTGCAGCTGCTGGCACCAGACTTACCCTCCAATTGATTCTTGTTAAAGGATTTAGAGTGTAGTCATTCCAATTTAAGGATCTCAAAAGAGTCCCATATTGTTATTTTTCATCACTACGTCCCTCTTCTGGAAGTGCGTAGCTTGTGTACATGCTGCCTTCCTTGGATGTGGTAGCTGTTCCTCAGTCTTCCTTTCCAGAATTGAGTCCAGATTCTGTGTCACCTGTTACAATCATGGCAGTCACACTGCAGACAGTTGATGAGGTATATACTTGAAAGATACATCGGTGGGACGAGCCTGTGCGATCAGCCGAAAAGTCATACAGAATCATCACATAATTCAGACACAAGGTCCGATTGGTTTTGTCTAAAACGTGCTCATCCCCAGAAGGTCGAAGCTCTGCTGCATGTATTAGCTCTAGAATCGCCACAGTTATTGGATGATCCAAGGAATCATAACTGATTTAATGAGCCATTTGCAACTTTACATTAATATGACATGTACTTAGTCATGTGTGGCTTAATCTTTGAGACAAGCATATAACTATTGGCAGGATCAACCAGGTAGCGTTTTTATGTTCTTAGAATGTTCGAGTTGATTCTCATTCTTTTCAAGTTATTATTTATAATAATTTTCATTTCCTTTTCTTCATTTTTTAAACATCACATTACATATAATAGCCTAAAAGGGCTATTATTTATTATTTTTTCTTGAAACATGATTTTGCATTGTTTCACTTTTTATTCCAGTTTGTTGCTTTTTGGCATAATGTAAGAAATTTAGCTTTCAAATTTAAACTATCTCGTATTATCACACTAAGCTATTTAAAAGTGATAGATGCAGTTTGTAAGAATATTATTATTTTTTACTTTTTAATCTGATTTATTTAAATAAAAATGCATTTAATTTACGATATATCTAATTAAAAACATTAAATAATTTTATAAAATTGTTATATCTGTTTGTAATGAAAGTTTTCCACCCAAAAACATTCTTAAAAGAACATGAAAGCAGTACTTTTATTACGGGTGGTAATCACCACCCAAATCTATGATTTTCTGCCAACGCTATGGTAGTCTTTCAAAACCCTCAACAGGCCCAGAAACATGGTGGCCATGAATTCAAAAACAGATAACTTCATTTCATACGTCCTGTACAGAGTGGAAGGTAGCACTAGCAAGATGATTTCCTTGATAGCAGTGTCACAGGCTAGTGTCTCACTGTACACGTTACTGTTGAGGGTTTTACCTTTTTCCAGATACTCTTTGTGGATAATACCATGGCAATCCCAGATATAAGCATGATCTTTTTGTTGGTAAAATTGCACTTTGTGATGCTGCCAATGGGCTCACCGGATGCAAACCAACCCACTTTTTGACCTTCGTTGGTGAAGTAATTGCACTTTTTACCACAAGTGACGATAAGGTCCAGAATTTTGTCCTTGCTTTGATACAGTCAAAAGTCGTTAATTCGGACACCCATAATCCAGAATGATCTATAAATCTGGACCTCAAAGCTACAAACTCTCTGCACATGCGTCGCGTTCATGCATTCGCGTAAGACCTTTACGTCTGCGAATATGCGTATAATGGACGGTATAAGCTAAGCTAAAATTATCTAATTCAGTTAATATTGCAGATTGCGTTGTTTCTTAATCTTTGAATTGGATTCGGCTTATTATTTTTTGCAGACTGTTAGAGCAATTTTATAAAAGTAAGCTTGAACTTTTGATTATGTCAAATAGAATTTCTGATATATATTTACTAATATGTAAAGGATCTACAAAGCGAAAGTATGTTTCGAAGTCCATTAAACAAAAAGTGGAATTGCTGCAAAAAATGGATAAACGCATAATCCTTTGTTTATCTAAACTTTAACGTTTGTTTATCTTTAACGCCGCGGTGCACAATGAATTGGAATTTGATCTGTCAGCACTATCCTTATCTTCAGGGCAGATGTTTTTATTTTATTTGGCGTATAATTCCTTACTAAATGTAGTATTTCATCTCAATGTACTCCGTCTTTGATATGATTTAAATCAAATTGAAAACGAAAAAATTTTGATTGACAAATTAGTCGGTATTCTCGACACAGCAGTTATAGGACTTGAACAGCGGAACTTTGTAACTGAACAAGAAATTATGTCTGTTTATAGAATTAAAGAGAATGCATTATCACATAAAAAACGAAGCAACTTAAACAACTACATTGAAAGAAATTTTTAATAAAGTAAACAAATAAATATTAAGCTTTTTTTTTTTTTTTTTTTGTAAATTTTGATAACCCTTTAGATCGTAATTGTTCTTTATTTCATAAATTACGGTTTCATATTTTTAATTTTATAATTTCTGCATGCCATCTTACCAGATTTAAACTGATGATCTATAATCCGGAAAAATCGATAATCCAGAATCGCCGAAGTCCCGATGAGTCCGGATTAACGACTTTTGACTGTACTGATCTTCTTCCACATGTTCTCACAGATTAGACTCATCAAAAGCAATAGGTTGGACAGAGTGTTCTGCTTCTTGAATGGCATAGTCCTGGTTTGTGAACTTTCGGTACCAAACTTTCCCAGTGTTATGTGATATAACAGTTGTACCTAAAGCTGTACAAAAGATAAGAACCATCATTTACTTCCAATTCTATCACAAAACGTCAGCTTCTGTAGCTGACATTTTCTAATAGAATTGGAAGTAAATGATGGTTCTTATCTGGTAGCATGATACTTCTATTTCAGTTACTTTGTAGTTAATGATAATTATGTATTTTTTTAGAAATTTCACAACACAGTGTTTTAAAGCAAGTCTCTTTCTTTCAAATACCATAAATCGTTTTACAAAGTATGATTAAACACACCAATGCGAACTGTTTGCGCAGACAATATTTACAATAGTGGCAAACTTTTGTTAAAATCTGATTTATTTTTTTACTTTTTAAATATATATACAAGATCTGTAGCATTCCAATGTTAGTCTAAATGCATATTTAACATTTAGACTAACATTGGAATGTTAGTTGGAATGTAGTATCCTATAAATGTTTTGCCAATTTATGTGGTTTACCTCTATTGATAATATCTACTGGAAAACCATATTAAACTTTAAAAGAGCATTTTTGAGTGACAAAATTTGAATCCTTTCAGATTTTTTTAAAAAACTTTTATTTATAAAGTGGCTTGTTCTATTGTTTTGTCTGCACAAAACAGTAGTAATTTTACCTTAAGCTCAGTAACCTGTGTTTTAATTGGTTGGCTGCACAGTGTGTTTATGACATTGGGTAATAAATATGATGCAGTGTGCCTTAGAAATTTTTACATGAAAATATTCATGCTTTGAAGCTGATAAGTTTCAATTACTTTATTACAATTAATTAAATAACCAATTAACAAAATTATTCTTTAGAAACACTTTGAAGCTGATAAGTTTCAATTATTTTATTACGATTAATTAAATAACCAATTAACAAAATTACTCTTTAGAAATTCATTTAGTTTTTATGTTTCAGCATTTTTCATATATTATTTATAAAAAAGTTAGTTTTAAAAATAGTTCATCAATTGAATTGTTGCAGAAATTAAACTGCTGAAGAGTGAATAATGAGTAAATAAATAAAACGGGGTTGCATTAAATTTATGATTCAATTTTCCTTCTCAACAAATTAGCGTGTTAAATAAATCATGATTTAATGTCATTACTTAATTATGTATTCCATTATTTGTATTTATTCTTCTAATTTTGCATCTCTCTTTTTTTTTTTTTTTTTTTTTTTTTTTTTTTTTTCCAGTTGCTGACAGATTTGCCATATCACAGTGGGGTTTCTGTGCATATTATTTATAACTCTCCCTTTTTAAATACAAAACTTGATGTTAAGAAATTTTTAAAATAAAGGGGTACTAATTAACTAATTGGTTCCTCTTGGAATTATAACAAAATGTATTGTAATAATAAATTTTTAGATTTGTTTTAAAATTTTAACTATTTTAAATTATTGACTTTATAGATAATTGTGATACACATTGGTCACTATTTTGATCATGAACTACTAACATACAAAACTCTTTTCATTTACACAAGTTTATAATCCATTAGTGTATAGCTCTAGTTTTATGATTTTAATAAATTTTTTAAACCAGCAAACTCATTTGGAACATTTTCATTAACATCTTCACATTATGTGCTGTGTTGGTTGGTAAAATTCAATATAATTCGATTCTATAATCAACCCCAAAATGCACCTATAAAAATTAAGACTCATATATTTTCCACCAACTTTTGTATTCTTTATTGTAACTCAATGACTCTTAACCTCTTTCATTGTTTTAACTCAAAACTAAAGTGGATGTATTCTGTTGTATTGATATCCAAAAAGAAAATATTGAATTCTTTTGCAACTGTACTAAATTTTTCATTTATGAAAAGAATTTGCCAAATAATAAATGATTTAAATTAGCCAAAGAAATTGATGATAATGTATGTGATACTAATGTGTATTACATTAATTAAAAATACTGCTAGAAAATTTTCCAATTGTGTGTAGTTACTGTAGCATATTTAAGTTTTGCATGTAATTTTCTTTATAAAATGTATGATGAAATTAATTTCAAAATTTAATTTTAGTTATAAGAAAAAGCAGAATGTAAACAATAATAAATATAGAAGGTTTGTTTCCAGATTTTATTTGCAAATTTATAAATCTTATTTATTTAATTAAATTAAACTTATAAATCAAAGAGGGTATAAATCTGTTTTCTGTGTTCATAATGTTGAGATATCTGGGCAAGTTTGAGAGTCTAATATGATATACCCGGAATTTTAAATAATTTCAGATAAACTCATGGCTGATGCTTAAAGTTTTATGATTAAAGAGCATTATACAGAGGGTATTCATACATTTTTGAATAATTTTAGCACAGCAAATAATAATAAATAATTTCAGATAAACTCATGGCCGATGCTTAAAGTTTTATGATTAAAGAGCATCCATCATACAGAGGGTATTCGTGCATTTTTGAATAATTTTGGCACAGCAAATAATAATAATAATTCTATCAAAAATTAATTACACAGCAAATGTTATTTTATTTATTAAAAGTATTCAGTTTGGTACTCATTGTGATTATTAAATTAAATTAATGCCTTTCTTTTACCTCGATTTCTTCATCAAAAGACCTTTTTAGATTTTACCATAGTAATTTTTTCCCACTTCTCTGATATAGCTTCTCGTAGTTTGTCAGTTGTTTTTGGTTTATGGATTTTGGTTATTTTTAATACAATTACAAATATTAAATATTAAAATTTGAATAATTTGTATTTTTTTTAGGTTAAATTAGAGATTATAGCAAGCAAACAAAAAAAAAAAAAAAAAAAAAAAAGTGTAGATCTTGTTAATGGGCTATTAAATTTATTCTGAATGTAATCAGAAATAAAATTGGAGCAGTTATGTTTAAACAATATTAAATCCATCATCATTGTATTAATATTTGTTAGTATATATCTTATTTCGAAATATTAAATTAGTCAGCACTTTTGTGATATTAGTGTATTTGGATACACTGTATTAAAGTATGCTATTTATTAAGGACACTGTGTATCTAAAAGTAAATCCATAGTTTTAAAATCTGAAAAAAAATATTATCTTCTGCCATGTTATTAACAGACATTTTAAATATGTATTATGAATACTAAGTGCACTTAATATTCATTGAAATAAAAAAAAAAGTTCGATATAGGCAAATCTAATTATTAAACTTAAATATTAGCAGATGTGAGTTAAAAATTTTGCAATGAATACTGGGTTAATCAAATACCTGTTTTAAATAATTGTCAAAGAGTATTAACCGTATTGTGCAAAATCTTAATTTTCCATAATATGGTTCATACTCCTTGACCTGTAAGAAAAATTTGATGTCATTTTCATTTTATATGCATATTTCACTAACAGCAGCATTGTAAATTTAAATCATATTTTCGTAGAAAATTTTAAGGAAATAAATTTCATGTTTAAAATTAATTTTTAATTGTACTTTTGAAATTTAGCATTTAAATAAACTTAATGTGTAAAAAGAAAATTATGAAAGTTTCACTTTCACAGGGCATTTGTCATATACAGTTGATTGCAGTAAAACATTTCACTGTACTTTTATCCTTTATGTAACATGTTTTGTTTTGATGAAGATTTGAGTTATTCTTTTCAACAGTAATTGTCAGCAAGACTTAAAGCGAAAATTATTATTTATATTTTAATTAAGAATTTGAGCAGATTTCAACTGGATGAAAAAATTTTTGAATACAGTTATTATTGCTCTTACTAAACCTTGTTATAAGAAAGAAATATTGCAAATAATACTAAAACAGTTTTATGGATATGAAAAATAATTAATGTCTGAATACTTTAAAATATTCATTTTTTAATTAAGAGTAACTTACTTTCACATATAAAAGTGTTGGTAAAAATAGCTATAATTTGTAAACAGTGATGTGATCTCTGCACTTGTAAATAGCATTAATTTATATTGTTCATTACATGTTATGAACTTATAACTGAAGTTGAGTTATATTAGTATTTTTATATGATATTTTAAATTGTAGTGATATTGATCTATATTTATGTGAAGCTAACAGCTATTTTGTATTTTTCCCCAAGAACTATTTTCATAAAAGGCTTTTTTCACCAGCCTTTAGTTTTTATAATCAGAAGTAATTTTGATTGTGAATGTTTCAAGAGTTATTTGTTTTTGTAAAATAAAATGTATATATTCTTAAAAGTTATTTCCATATGTATAAAATTCGTAAATAAATAAATGTGTTATTAAATTTCTAATTTCCTTCACACTTCCAGTTCCAGAATATGATGTTTTTTACTTCCTTGAAGGAAGTATTGCAATCACGAAAAATTCCAGGTACCATATTTCAACGAAAATATCCATTTTGACCGCTATCGAATGTAATTTAACAATGTTTTTGCATGACATCTGTATGTAAAGTCAGAATAAAGAACTCTTTTCCCCCGAACGAATTATAATACTCAAAAACAAGTAGTCTCAGAATGTTGAAATTTGTATATAGGATTGCTATAACATGTAGTTGTGCACCTCCCTTTTTGGCTGCAATCGGCCTCACCAAAAATATGTGTATATATATATATACCCACTCTGTTACTCGGCTCAGTAAGCTCAGTTTTTTTATTCCTATATGTTGGTAAATTGTGCATTTCTTGCTTTAAAAATGATTGAATTATGTTTTTATCTTCTGGTCAAAGGCTTTTATGCCTCTAGTTAATCTGCATGCAATATTTGTAGAATTATCAACAATTTAAAAGTTGTTTAAGTTTAGCAATGCCATTTTTTTTTAAACCATAGCATCCATATTTGTTTATATTTGAAACTTAGTAGAATAGTGAGTTAATTTTTTTGTGCATCAGTGCCTTTTTGACGAATGGGACCAAAAGGAAACTTTCAGTTTTGGTCACTGAAAAATCTACCTTCTTGTCTGCTGGCAGAATTGGTTGTTTTTGCATAGAAACTGTAATTGTAAAATTTTTTAAGATTGTTTTAACTGTACTTGGTGTTATAAATAAATGCTCATTTAGTGATTTATCCAATTTAAAATAGAGTATTAAGGACATCTACCAAAGGTTGCTCATAAATTTCTCTTGGCTTTGCCAACTAGATATTTTGGCATCTGGGTGACAGTACAGTTCCACTTCTTTATTTATTACCATGAACGGCTGTAGGTCAATATCCAAAGATACTGGTTAAAACTCTAGGTAGTTGCAGACCAGAAGTAAAGAAATGATTCAAGGGATACATAATGCTTTGTGTGAGTGATTCAAACTGACTCTTGACAAAAAAGGATTACACTCTGCTTGGGAAGCTTTTCTTTCAGAATGGCGACTGTGCGTTAACAGCTATCAGTAAGTTCTAGATATTAAAAGGCATAAAATCCTGACCAGTGACCCATATGGCCTGTGGAAAATGGATAGATAAATTCAAAGAGAACAGTTCGTGTGACATGAAACGAAATAGAGGATGAAAACCAGTTTTGGGAATGGCAGCGGAAGATGTGACCACAGCATTATAAGAACAGACGAACAGTGATAATCATGGGGAATTGGTCTAATTTTGGATATGCCTATCAGCATGGTGTGTAAAATCGTATGGAACATCTGCTGTTTACTGTACGAGATAACTCACAGGCAGCAGTTGATAGTTGTTACCTGCTAATCTGGATACGCATGAATCATTTGCACTATGATTTCGTGCCTGGATGGAAATGGACAATGGATGGCTATGGAACATTCTGTGGTCTGACAAAGTCCATTTCCATTTGCAAATATGCAAAATTGCAGGATATGTGTGACCAAGAATCCATTCCCACTGCAGCCAATACCTCCGACCATGTGATGCAGAATAATGGTAGAGTTTATCGTCAGGCTGTTCTTTGAGGAGATCACACATACATGTCCTTTTACTTGCACTGTTACTAGCAAGCAGTATGAAGCAGTATTCTGGCACTTTTCCATAACCATGCCCTTCCAGAAACTTCCGTAATGTCAGTATGTGGATCACACGATATTCATGCAAGATGGCACTCTCCTCTGCGCATTGCTACTCGTGTGAAGCAGCTACTGATCGCTCATTTCGGAGAGGATAGAATCATAAGCTGCCATTTTCCAACAACATGGCCACCACTTTCCCTCTGACTAAACCCGATGTCTGAAGAATGTTGTTTGCAGCACGTGGATTGCAAATCTGGCCGACTTGAAGGCAAGCATCATACACCGTATTCACATAGTATCAGCACAGATAACATCCAGTCTGTTGTGGAACATGCCCTTTTACACTTCCAACTGTAGTGAAACAAGGTAAAGGACATATTGAACAACTCATGTGTTAATCAAGGTGTTTTTTCCATGAAGCTTCACTTTTTCTTTTGTCACTTTCTTTCACTGTTTTTGCTGTAAACACGTAATCTTGTCTTTTTGCTGATAAATTTGTTGTAAATTGAAAAAGACCAGTTCATTATTTACTTTTGCCTAAGAACATTTTTGTATGTAATGATTCAGTTTAGGTCTTACACGTGACACTACCCTGACAGTGGCATATATCGGCATATTTGGTAACCATTCTTTTTCCTTCGCCAAACCTAATTCCATTGTCTCATGAATTTTCTGGTAAAATATTAAGTCATTCTGACTCGTAGTTTTAAAGTTACAGCATTTTGAAATCACAACTCTAATTATAATCATCCTGTATGTATATTGTATGTATGTATGAGGTGAATTAAGGATTAACGTATTTCATATTTGACAGAATCTGTATTAAAAGCCGATGTTCTTTTATGCTGCATGGCATTTTGTGTGATTATTCAATTACAGAAATCGGAGATTTGTGATCCTAAGCTGTGATCTAAGGCCCAGCTATGCTTGAGCAGTTATACTGAATACATTGAAATGCCACTAAATTAAGGATACCTGTTTAGTAATGAGGTGTTGCTCGTTTGGTTATTTCATGATTCGGCATGGATTTAGCAGATGAATAGTTGCATTCTAAAGGTACCTGGCCTAAAAATCACCAATGAAATTCAAGTCCTATTTCTGGTTCAGTGATGAAAGGATGTTAGTGATTGCTCAATAGATTTACAATTAATAATTAGAATCAATTGCAGGATTTGTTATGAGTAATAAGGCCTCAAACAATGCCATGAGAAAAATAACCAAACCATCACTTAGCCACTATGACCTTGTGCAGTTCGAAGCTGACAAGTCTGTTTAAATCATTAATTTTACTCTTCATGCTACTTTTAACAATTGCTTCAGAGTACTGTACTGCTAGCTATATATATCCTATAGTATCTTCTTTTCATGTTCAAAAATGAGGCAGAAGTCCTATAATATTTGGATAATATGTACTGTGTGTTCTTAAATAGTAAAAGTTTCTTTTGGATTTTTTACTCATGTTACAGTAACTAGCTATATAAATAATTTGTAATTTTACTGCCTTAATGTAAGTTATTGTATTTTTTAAATTAATTTAATTTCCAACTGTTGACTCTAATTAATAATGAAATTAAATGTTATGTTATGATATGGCAAGACATTGTAGATAATGGAGGAAAATATATAATTGATTAAAATGTTAAATTGTGTTTTTTTTTTATATTATTTAAAAATTTATCAGAAAATGCACATGAATTTATCCCAATACATTCTGACATAATAAAAAATGAAACAGACATTTATATGGATATAATACTCTTATAAATAGGATTGCTGCAACTCTGCACATTGCATTTATTTAATAATTAACTTATCAATACTTAATTAAGAAACAAATTTAATAACTATTAGTGACTCGCTAAGGCCTGTCTTGCA